ACAAAACCAAAACATTGGAGACATTGTAGGTCTTCAAAAGTAGCTAAAAGTCAACAAGAATGGGCGTCATAATGAATCTCATTATCTTCACAGCTGATGCCTAAACTTTCGAACCTGATACTATCCAGCAAAACAGAATAGGGGAACATCAGTTAAAAACCAGATGGTGAGAGTAATACAGGGCTTTAAATCAAGGTAATGAAAAGTCAAAATGGGTTACTATAATATATCCTGCTATTTTTTTCCTTTAATTAAAAGGATAAAGATAAAAAAGTAAATAATGGAGTGGAGATTGAGATAAAAAAGGGCATAACAACGAAACAGCGCAGATTAACTTTTGACTACTGACTTTGTATCTAGCTACACTGCTGAATTTGCTTATTTACTCTAGGAGTCTTTTGATAAAGTTTTTGGGACCTTCTATGTAGACTGTCATATCATCTGCAAATAGTGATTATTTAACTTCTTCCTTTCTTATCCTTATTCCTTGTATTTTGCTCTCTTGTCTAATTGCCCTGGCTAATGTTTACAGAAGTGTATTGAATAGGAGTGGTGATAGTGGGCATCCTTGTCTTGTTCCTGGTTCTAGAGTGAAAGTTTTCAGTTTTTGTCCATTTAGTATAATGTTGGCTGTTGGTTAGTCATAGATGGCTTTTATCAGATTGAGGTAGATACCATCTATTGAGTTTCTGTAGGATTTTTATCATGAACAAGTGTTGGACTTTATCAAAAGCTTTTTCATCATCAGTGAGATGATGATGTGATTTTTGCTTTTGGTTCTATTGATGTGGTATATTATACTTATTGATTTACATATGTTAAACCATCCCTGCATTTCTGGGATGAATCCCACTTGGTAATGATGTATAATCTTCTTGATGATTTGCTGCTTCCTATTTGCCAGTATTTTAATGAGAATTTTTGCATCTATGCTCATTAGGAAGATTGGCCTATAATTCTCCTTTTTGGTTGGATCTTTCTCTGTTTTTTGTATCAGAGTAATACTTGCTTCCAGGAATGAGTTAGGGTGAATTGCTTCCCTTTACAATTCATTGAAGAGTTTGAGGAGTATTGGCATCAGATTTTCTCTAAATTTCTCATAGAATTTAGCCATGAATCCATTCGGACCTAGGCTGTAATTTGTTGGTAAGTTTTAGTCTATTATAGATTCCTTTTGAATCAGATATGTTTCTTGTGTATGGCATATTGTTGAATCCTGTTTCTTGATCCATTCTGTTAACCTATTTCTTACAATTGGTGAATTGAGCTCATTTACCTCCCAGTATTACACACACACACACATACACACACACACACACACACACACACACACACACACACACACACACAGGGATCCTGCTGGCTGCTGAAGTCGCTGGGGTAAGGAAAAGGAGCTAGAAAAAAAATTTTTTTGTACTGGGGATTGAACTCATGACTGTGTACTCACCAGGTGGACACTTATGCTGCTGAGTTAAATCCCTAGCTCTGGCCTAGAAATTTTTTGAAAAATATTTCATATTACTTTTTTTTAACATCTCATAATATCCTAAAGGTTTGGCTAGTATAATTCATCAGTTCTCATTTATCCTCCTAAAGAGACAAGATTGAGGAGTGGAATCATCCCAAAGTCATTTTTAAATTGGATATGTAACAAGCTTTTCTTAATTTTTGAATATTACAACCTCAATAATTAAAAAGCAAGTGTGTATGGCACTCATACACTGTGAATAGTTAGCAATTTAACACCCCCAGGTTCCTTAAACATTTAAGTCAGACCCCTCCTACAAAGTCGGGCCTGCAAGGAGCTTGGCAGACAGCAGATGAGCCCTGGAGGGGTGAAGGACTCAAGGAGAGAAAGGAAGGAGTTGGTGTTTTCAACTTAATGTAAAGCCCACATCATGCAGGTGAGTGTTAAATTGGCAGCGTAATTTTTATTAATATTTCCAAATGTTAAGTATTTTACTGATAAGATCACACAGGCGCTTTGTTACTTTTCTTTCATTTAACTACTCCTAGCCCATCCCTTCAAAGAATAAAGAAATCTTAATCTCAATCATAGATCCCTTTTACTCATGTCATTTTTATTAGTATATGTTTTCAGTACATGATTGTTACATTCTTTATAGGGGGTCAACCCACGCATAAAACACAACTTCATTCCTTCTTCATTCCCTTTCCTCTCCCTCCCTTCCCACTCCATCCATCTCTTGATCCCCTTTGCCTCCTTTTTTCTTTGAAGTGTTTACAGTACATAATATTTTCACAGTCCCCTTTGTTGATGATCAACACACACAAGTTAAGCATACCTTTTTTTAAGAGGTCTGGCTAGAAAATCTTATAGCTCTGGGGAAAGTAATACATTTCAACAAATCTCTCCACTTGAAGGATGATACAAAAGGGGCAATTTGCCTTCACAAATAGCTCTTAACACTAATGAGCTTACAAGGACCCAGAAATGTATTGTCCCTGCAAAGGACCAGAGGGACACTGTCACACTGAGGAAACACATGAAACCCAAAACCTCGCTAAATTACCTGGGTTAATGGGCTATGTGGTCTCAAACAAAGGAGGATTTATACTGTCTTTCTCTCTTCATTCTGCACACACACTAATACTGTGATGCAGTCTCCTAAATAGGGATGGGAAGCACGCATCTCCCTTGCAGGGATGGGCCAGCCACATTCCCACTAGCTTACTGTTGCGGGAAATTCAGGTTGACCCTTGCCAGAACTTCTCATTTGTCAAGTGAATATAGAAACGTAAATCCCTTCGTTGTTTAGGGCTGGCAATCATTTAAGTTGCTAGTACCCAGTCAGAGTAAAGGACTCCAGAGGTCTCAGGGAGAGACACAGTAGTGATTCTCTTGCTAGAGAGAAATTGCAGTTCAAGTGCCCGCCACATCCCCTGGAGAGAGTCCTCAATCACGTGTTATTCCAAGGAGGGGCCAACTGAACCCAGGGTGCAGAACAGCTGTAAGGTGGCCTCACTGCAGGTCTCCCAGTATTACATTCTCACACTGGCTGGGTGAGAGGCAACTGCAGAAGACAGCCAGGCTCAGGAAGTCATGATCAGGCCAGCAAGAGACACCCAGAGGGTTTTAATTTAAATGACTCAGGCTCTACGCCAGTGACCAGAGATCGATCAGCCTGAATCTGTGTGGATTAGAAGGCCCCAGAATTGGCAGCCACACTCTAATCCTTCACCTGCTTGCTGATGACTGTGTGCAGCACAGCCCTGGCTAAAACTGCCTTCCCCACCTACCATCAGGAGCAGGGGAAGCCTTGGATGGATACCATCGCAGAGCTTACACCCAGAAGATAAAGAAAATTATATATATATTTCTATATTCATATTTGCATAGATATGATTTTTTTCTTTTGTTTTTCATTTGGTTGTATTTTGGTTGTTTTTATTTTCTGTGAGTGTTGTTTTTAATTTAATATTTTTGTGTGTCTCTTCTGTTCGTCTCTCTTGTTTTCCCCACCAGTTTTCTGGGGCTTATGTTATCTTTCTTTGTCCTGTTTTGTTTCTGATCTCTTTTTATTTCTCTATTTTTTTCCTCTTCCTCCTTTTAATTTGTCTCCCCTTAATTATTTCTTATTTTTACTGTATATATAACCTCTTTCTTTTTTTAATCTTCTATTTTTTGCTTTTTTTTTTTGGTCTTACTTTTACCTAATTCTATAGATGTCCTGGTACTCCTTAATAAGGTCCTTTAGACCACTTCTCTCTCCTCCTTCTCATATCTTAAAGTCTAAGGTTTCAAAGTTTTCTTTTTTAATTCCTCCATTCCCAAACCCTATATCCTTAGTAGTATTACCATAAAGGTTTGTTTTGATAGTACTCTGAAAAATTACTGTTGAATTCTTTACTACCATAAGCAAAGATATAGCTGCCACATTTAGTACATATTAGTTGTGAGTTAATACCTGGATTACCTTAATGTTTACATCGTAATTGCCAATTTCTTCTCTAGGATTACAGGTGATACATACTTGGTTCTTGTGGTGTTGGGCTATGCTACTGTAGCTGATTCCCTTGATAGAAATAGGGTCATTGTCACTATTTCTCTGTAAGCCAACACTCAGATCATTTTTGTGCATTAACAACACTAGAGTCCATTCCCAGAGAACTTGGTTTCTGGGATAACAATGCCACATCCTCCCTTCCCAAAGTAACAGTGCAACGAGAGATTGACTATGATAAATGATTACACTTAGTCATGCCCAAATTGCAACACTCAAAAGCAACTAGAGATATTTGTACTAGTAAACAGTGTTGAACACTATAAGCATCTGAAAACCTTGACACAAGACAACACACACACGGAACATGAGAAGGTCAGGCAACAAAATGCCTCATAAAACTCCCAATTCCTCAAAAACTAATCCAGAGGGCATCAAAGAACAAAATAGAATGAACACACACCTGGATTACTCAAAAGAGAAGGTTATAATACAGCTCAAAAAGATATTCAGTCAGGGTCTGGGGATTTAGCTCAGTGGCATAAGCACCTACCTGGCAAGCAGGAGGTCATGAGTTTGATCTAGGTACCAAAAAAAAAGATACAGTGGGATTAGAGAAGCTATATCTAAACAGATAATGAATGCAGTAATCAAAAGATTCAGGAGCTCTCAGAAGATATTAATATAAAACTAGATAAGCTAAACAAAATGATACAAAACATAAGTGACCAGTTTACCAAAGAATTAGAGTTCAATCAAAATCCAGATTATCAAACTGAAATTATAGACAGCAGGATGGACCAATGTGAGGACAGAATTTCAGAACCAGAAGACAATGATGCCTTCAAATATCAACTACTCAAAAACAGTTTAAAAACAAGAGAACATGAAAAGTGGATCCAATAACTACTAGTTGAAGCAAAGAGGACTTATCTAAGAATAATTGGAATAAGTGAAAAATAAAAAGACAACACAAATGGCATTTTAAAAAACCAGCCTGCAGAAATATCCCAAATATAAGAAGGAAATAAACTTACAGATAATGGGACAGCTAGAACTCCAAATAGCCATGACCAAAATAGAAGTTCTCCATGTCATATTACACTCAGGGTGTCAGAAGTTCAACACAGGGACAAAATCCTAAAAGAGTTAGAAAAAGGCAACAAATTACATGCAAGAGTAAATGCATTGGAACCACAGCAGGCTTCTCTACACAACCCTAAAGTTCAGGACATGAAGTATCTCAAACCCTAAACGATGAAAGGTTCTCCAACAAATGTATCCTGAAAAAACACTTTTCTTTAAATTGATGGAAATATAACATATTTTCATGCAAGGAGCACCTCAAGAAATTTTTGATCATTAAGCCAGTATTACAAAACTGTTATATATATTTAGTGTAATCTTAATCAAAATACCAATGCCATTCCTCACAGAGCTAGAGAAAGCAATGTTAACATTCACACAAAACCGGAAGCAACCTAGAATAGCAAAAGCAAATCTGGACAAGGACAAGGCAGAGGGCATCACAATCCTGGACTTCAAGTTATACTACAGAGCTGGAGGGATAAAAACAGCATGATACTGGCAAAAAAAAAAATCTAGATTAATGGAACAGAATAAAAGGTACAGAATCAGGCAAACTCAGCTACACTGTCTTTGACAGAGACGCCAAATTCCCTCACTGGAGGACAGACAGCCTCTTTAACAAAGCTCGTGGGAAAACTGGCTATCCACCCACCAAAGATGTTAACCTAAATCCATATCTCTCATCATGCATTAAGTTAAAATAAAAATATATCAAAGGCCAAAACATTAGCACAGAATAGTCTGCTGGAAGATGAAATGCAACTTTTGAAGACATGGATCTAGGCAGAGATTTTCTGAAGAATCAACAACTGAAATCACATCAAGTTAAAAAACTTTTACACAGCAAAAGAAAGTATCAGCAAAGAAAAAAAAGGGCAACATACAAAATGGGAAAATTTCTTGCCAGCTACTCCTCAGACAAAGGACTAATAATACCTAGAGTATATAAAGAGCTGAAAAAATAGCCCCCCCCCGACTTAAAGACCCAATTAAGAATTTGGCATCTGAAATGAATAGACATTTCTCAGATGAAGAAGCATAAACAGCCAAATTGAAACAGCAAATTGAAACAACCCTAAGATTCCATTTCACTCCAGAAAAAATGACTGCCATCAAGAAATCAAGCAATAGAGAGAACAAGAAGTCACCAAGAAAGAAGCCCTCCCTGCAAATCAGCACCACACATGGGCCACTGTGGGGAGAGCCAGATGCCAGCCCCTGCCAGCGTGCATGGGCTGGGAAACAAGAAGAGCCAACCTCCCACCCTCTGCCGTAAGTGACTGGCTGATTCAGAGAAACACAGGCTGCAGTGATAGCTATTGAGCTAAAATACAGTTTAATGTCTGTAGTGTTTTGTGTTTCACTGACTTTGCAGGTCTAAAGCTGGTAGTCTGACCATCTATTTAGAGAACAACAATATGCAACGTAGCACCTATGGGAATCTCCTTCTGAAGATGGTAGTCATTGTGAACTCCCTATCATCCTGTTTTGAAGCTCTATATCATTTTCCTTGTTTTGCTGGGTTGGGTTTTATTCTGTTTTGTTTTGTTTGATTTTATTATATCCAATGGCATGGGCAGTTATTTAAAAGATAACAAGATATATTATGGTAGCCATTTTGGATTTACTCTTATCTTGTTTTGAAGTCATTTATTCATTGTTTTGTCTTTATTGATTCTATTCTGTTCTGCTTGTTTTATTTTTACTACATCTGAAGGTGTGGCAGCTACTTCGAAGACAAGAGGTATCATGGTAACCATTGTTGATTTCATATTGTTTTGAAGTCCTGTGTCACTCACACTGGTTTACTTTGATTGGCTTTATTTTGTTTTATGTTACTTGATTTAATCTCTTTAAAATAAAAATTTAGGAAGAAATCAAGTGATAACATGCTAGAGAGGGTGTGAGGAGAAAATAACCATTATTCATGGGATAAACATATTGTTGATGGAAGTGTAAACTGATACAACCCCTATCAAAATCAGTATGGAGAGTTCTCAAAAACTAAAAGTAGGAATCCACTTGACCCAGTTTTTCCCCTCCTAGGTGTCTTCCTAAGAGTTAAAGACATCACATTATAGTGATAGATGAATGCTCATGTGTCTAGCAGCAAAACTCATAATAGCTAATTCTTGGAAACAACCTACATGTCCATCAACAGACGAATCAGCAAAGAAGATGTGGTGTTGACACAGAACAGAGTGCTGCTTTGCCATAATGGATGAGCTGGAGTCATTTGTAGGAAAAGGGATGCATGAGACATAATATTAAGTAAATCAGCTTAAATATCATATTTTCTCTTATATGAAAAGCTTAATATGTAACTAAAGAGCAAAATAAAAAGACATATGACAGGAAAAAGAGACAAAAAGTTACTGTAATCTAGCATGAACAGTGCATCTAAAAGTATATCTTGATTCAGTGTAATTCCTTTTCATGTTTTACATGGTTTTTAGCCTATTCAATCTGTATATATGATGGTGAACTTTATGAGGTCTTTTATGATAGATAAATAAATAAGTTTAATTCTGGCAGAATAGAAGGGGCCAGGGGAAGGGGGAATTGAGGTGAGGTATGTGCGTGTCCACTTCCCTACAGTGAATGTAATCATTATGCATTGCAAGCAAGTACTCATCAATTAAAAACCTCCCAATTCCTGGTGCACAGAAGGCCCAGCAAACATACTGACCAGAAGGATGTAACGAATCTGTGAGTAACCTGAGAATGAGTAATTAAGTAAATTAACAAAATATCGCTTTTATTAATCAACTCAGTAGCTCCTGATCCATTCCTACATCTACTGTTAATAACCTCTGCCCCACAAGAGGAAACTGCATTCCAGGACCCATTTGTTACAACGTCAGTGGGTCATGGTATCCCATCCCACTAACTTAGACATCATCAGACATCATTATACAGACCTTGCGAGACATAAATTGCTGATATTTCATTGTAGCAGTGAATTCAGGCAAAATCTTGCTACAATTTGCCTCTTAAAAATTTAGAAGAGTAATATCAATGGGAGCCTGAAAAATTAAAAATCATCCATTTTGAGCTCTTAAAGATCCCAAATATATAGCACCTCACAAATCAAATTCCCAGAAACAGAATATTGGAAAAGGAAACTAAGGTCTCTTCCAAGCAACTCTCACAGGAGATGTTCAGCTGAGCTGAGGACTCGCACCCTGCTGTACTGCCACGTGACTAAAAGTCCCTTGCAGATTCCTGATGTTCATTGATGGCATCAGTGTGGCTATCAATATACAAATGAGATAGAATCTTAATAATTTCTGAATATTTCAGCCCATGGGTCAGAATGAGTTTTAATTAACAGAACCCTATAAAGATTTTTCAGAAGCAACTCTAAGCTAGAAATAAATTGTGGCTTGTACAAAACTGGATGAAGACAAAGTTTTGCGCATGGTGTTTAAAGTCTAGCTGACTTTTGAGAGTGTTGATGGAATTATATCTACTCTATATAATTTAGTAGGAAAAACAGTGAAAACTATAAACACTCTGTCTTGAACATGCTCTCAAACTTTTCCCTCACTTTTACAAATCACAAGAATTAAATGAAACAAAGAATAAAGTAAGGCTACAGTGTCACTGTAAACACAATATTAATTTTCTTACAAAATGAATCCCCTATTAGCCTCAGAATGTTACAAAACTTCCAAAACTCTGAAAGTCCTATTAAAACTGGAGTACACACTTTTATTACCTAGAGTATTTAGTAGAAAACAGGGCAGAAAAATCAAACTGAACACTTGACAGATAAAAGAAGCTGTAAGAGAGTATCCAACCCTGCCCAACTGTGACCCTTGGAGTCACCAGATTCTACAATTGTGAGCTGTGTTGTATGAAAGAACCTCTAAGAAAAACTGTCCAGCATTTATAAATCCTTCTGACCATACTTGCTGTCACTCTGAACAAATATCCTGATTTCTCTATGCCTCAGTTTTCGCAGCAACTAACATAATAATAAGTTTGTTGTGCAAATGAACAGTGTCTGGCATATAGCACATGTTATATAACCATTTGCTACTGGAAATTTCCAAATCAATTCTCCTTCCTATTTCAGTCAGTTCTGGACCAGATGGCAGAAAATAATTAGCTAATTACTTTTATCCAATGAGGAGTAGAACAATTTGGAGGTAAGAATCTAATGTAGGGAAACTGTTAGGAGATCACCAATAATAGGTGCATCTGTTGGAGCAAGACCACCACCATAGTTTCAGTGAGTACACGAAAAACAAATAGGCTGGTCTTCCTATGGCGTTTGTTTTTCTCTTTCCCTCAACTTCAACCTTACCCCTTTTATCCAGTTTATTTATACTTTAAATATCAATAATTAGTGATAAACTGTTTTATTTAAAGATGTAACCATTCCTATGATGGTTTCATAGAGTCTGGCAGAGCAGTCACATGGTAAGCCTCATAACCACCACATTTCTAAAATGGATTAGAGCAGTGTGTTGTCAGCCTCCTTCAGGGTGATAAAATACCTGAGGCCAGCAGTTCAGGTGGAAAGGTTACTGTGGCTCACGGTCTCAGAGGACTCGGTCCATGGTTCTAGGCTCCTTTGCCTTTGGGCCTACAGCAAGGTGAAGCATCACGACAGGGAGCCGCTCATGTCACAGCAGTCAAGAAGAGGAGGAAGAGGAGTAGGAGAGCAGAAGACACCACAATCCCACAGTCACTTCACTTAAATCCCCTGAGGCCCCACACCTTAAGGCTTTCCTCTCCTCCCAGCAGCGTCACAGGCTGTGGACCAAGCCGTGAATTAATTCACGGGCTTCCTCAGGGCTCTGCCCACCTCATCACCCTTGGAAGTGACCAGGCTCTCTTCCTAAGCAGTGCTTGATTGAATCCAGATCAGTGCCTGCTGATCTTGACCATCTGTGCAGAACAGGCTCAGACTTCTGCTTTTCTTTCCAGAAAGCATCACTGCTTCTACTGTGTTTTCCTCTCCAGCAAAACACTTCCCTGTAACCCTCTGACTCCTCTGCTAGTGGAGGCTTTACCCAGCCACCTCTGCCTTGGTGGTGGCT